CAGGAGATAGGGAGTGAACAAATGGATACTGGGTTTCCTTCTGAGATGGTAAAAATGATCTAAACATAGGCTTGGCGCCCGTAGATAGCATAGTGGTTATGGCGCCAGCCACATACACCAAGGCCCGTGGGTTCAAACCCAGCCTGGGCTAGCTAAACAACAATGACAACTGCAATAAAAAATAGCTGGGCATTGTGGCAGGCGCTTGTAGTCAGCTACTTCGGAGGCTGAGGCAAGAGATCACTTAAGCCCAAGAGTTGGAGGTTGCTGTGAGCTGTGATGCCACAGCACTCTACCGAGGACAACACAGCAAGACTCTGTCTCAAAAAAAAAAAGTGTTCTAAACTTGACTGTGGTGATGGCTGCTATGTATCTATGAATGTTTTGTTAGGTTTTTTTTTTTTCCTGTTTTTGGCCAGGGCCAGGTTTGAACCTACCACCTCCAGTATATGGGACCAGCACCCTACTCCTTTGAGCCACAGGCGTCATCCCTATCTATGAATGTTTTAAAAACCACTGTATTATACAGCTTAAATGAGTGAATTTTATGGTATGTGTATTTTATGTGAATAAAGTTATCTAAAAAACCCTTTCCTAGACTAGAAAAGCCTCATAAAAGATAATGACTATGAGCTATACTACTGGAGAGTGGAGAGACAAGCAAATTCCAGAATGGAGCCTTCAAGTGGTAACAGTAAAGCACCCTCAGCTAATTTCTATTTACCTAGAGAGGCCATCTCAATCCCAGGTATAAAATTATCCTGTTATGGCTGATACATGTTATCTCAAAGGTGCAGAGTTTGAAGCTATCAAGTGCAGACACATAAAGCATGTAAAATGTTCAATAAAGTAGAGTACCCTCAGTGACCAAACCAAGCAATTAAAACTGTATTTATCTAAGGAGTAATAACTTCACTATGTGGACAAAAACAAAGAATGTATTCTCAAACCTAAACACTATAAACATCTACTCTTTCTTTGAATCTATCACAGAATGTGTCTTTAAAAGATACCATGACTGGCTCGGGGCCTGCGCCCGTAGCTCAGTGAGTGGGGCACCAGCCACATATACCAAGGCTGGCGGCTTCAAGCCCAGCCCAGGTCTGCTAAACAACAATGACAACTGCAACCAAAAAATAGCCAGGTATTGTGGTTGGCACCTATAGTCCCAGCTACTCAGGAGCTGAGGCAAGAGAATCCCATAACCCCAAGAGTTAGAGGTTGCTATGAGCTATGACAATATCTCACTCTACAGAGAGTGACATAGTGAGACTTTGTCTCAAAAACAACAACAAAAAAAAGTATCATGACTCCGAGCCCATAGCTCAATGATTAGGGTGCCAGCCACATGCACCAACCAGGGCTGGTAAGTTCAAACCCACCCTGCTAAACAACAACAACAACAAAAAAACCAGCCAAGCATTGTAGCAGGCTCCTGTAGTCCCAACTACTGGGAGGCTGAGGCAAGAAAATCGCTTGAGCCCAAGAATTTGAGGTTGCTGTGAGCTGTGACACCACGGCACTCTACTGAGGGCAACACAGTGAGACAGTCTCAAAAAAAAAAAAATCAATGTTCTAAACAATAAAAACAAAAACCAAACAATATTTTTTCATTGCTATTCATCTTTTGCCACTGGAAGTACAAGGAAATAAAAATACTCAATTTTAATCCTTGTTTTAATTCAATCTTGTGTGGGGCTGTTAATAAAGATCCAAAATTCCTTACTGGAATTCAGAACTTTTCCATTATTAGAAAGCTAGCACAGTAGTTTTATGTATTACCTAAAACCCCCAGTAGTTATATATATTACCTAAAACCCCCAGCAGAATCTAGGTAGCACCCCTAATGAAACACATTAATAACCCTACTGCATAACAGATGAATATTCAAACTTCTTCCCATTTGTCCAGAGATTTACGAAATTTATCAGAAAAAGAATGAGTTCTTCAAGTTCTCTGGATTTCAGAATTTCCAGCTTATGCTTTTTGTGTTTTTTGCAACAAATGTCTCTAGAAATCATCATTTGGATATTAACAACTGAGAAACACTATACAGAATTAGATTTTCTTTTTTTTTGAGACAGAGTCTCACTATGTCATCCTGGGTAGAGTGCTGTGGCATCGCAGCTCACAGCGACCTCAAACTTTTGGGCTTAAGCAATTCTCTTGCCTCAGTCTCCCAAGTATCTGGGACTACAAGTGCCCACCATAATGCCCAGCTATTTTTTTTTTCAGTTGTAGTCGTTACTGTTGTTTGGCAAGCCTGGGCTAGGTTCCAACCTGCCAGCTCCAGTGTATGTGGCTGGCGCCCTACTCACTGAGCTACCATATTAGATTTTTAACAAATCCAGATACATTAATTCCAAAGTGTTTAGCTAAAAAAGCCTTCATTACTAACTCTTATTTTCTCTTAACTCAGATACAACTCAGCACATACTACCAACTAATTTCTTCTAAGTCATATTTAAGTTTATTCCCAAACGTACCCTACATAATTTTAAAAAAGGAAAAATACAGATTGCCAGGAAAATGGCTGCTAACTATACTGTTAATGTTTCTACCCAAGACAAAAATACAGTTTATGCGAGACAAAATGACATACACAAACAAAAAGGAATCAAAATGATTCTAATAACCTCAAGGTTTAATTCTAAGACAGACTAATAATATTTAATAGTATTTATAGCACCCAATTCAGATTAATATATAATCAATCCACATGGACAAAGCAAAGGCAGAAGGCAACAAAGTAAGCCTCTCTCCTCAAAAATGTCTACCTCAAAGAAATGTCATCAACATAGCAATTCCAACTGTGTCCTCTGAATCATTCAAAAGGTCTTGATAATAACGTAATAATAAAACACACTGAGGTGCTGGACTTCTCCAGACATAGATTTGGGTAACACATCAGCTACATACATTCGACAGATTTCAAAGGCTACCTTTTTTTTTTT